CCCTCCCCAAGTGCAGCCAGACCTGCCCCCAGCCCTCCGGAAGGCCCAGGGCTGGTGGGAGCATTAGAGGCAACAGTACATATGAGTGTTTAGAGCTGGCGAGGCAGGCGTGTTCAGGAAACGCTGAGTGGTACTTTTTTTTTTTTTTCCCAGAGTCCAGGTCTTGCTCTTGCCCAGGCTGGAGTGCAGTGGTGCCATCATAGCTCACTGCAGCCTTGAGGGCTCAGGTGATCCTCCTGCCTCAGCCTCCTACTACGCCTACTAGCTGGCACCACCAAGCGGGGTTAAATGCTAGTAGAGATGGGGTCTTGCTATGTTGCCCAGCTGGTCTCAAACTCCTGGACTCAAGTAGTCCTTCTGGCTCAGCCTCCTGAGTAGTGGAACTACAGACACACACCACCGTGCCCCACCAATTTTAAAATTGTTTGTAGAGATGGCGTCTCACTGTATTGCCCAGGGTGGTCTCAAACGTCTGGCCTCAAGCAGTCCTCCTGCCTTGTCCTCTCAAAGTGCTGAAATTACGGGCATGAGCCACTGTGTTCATACGTTTTAATAAAAAAATTAAAATTGAGAATTTACTCTGCTGGACACTAATAGCAGTAAAAAAATTTGTTCAAACTGGGCTCAGTGGCTCAGCCTGTAATCCCGCGCTTTGGGAGGCCGAGGTGAGTGGATTGCCTGAGCCCGCGGGTTCGAGACCCGCCTGGGCAACTTGGTGAGTCCTCAACTCTACAATAAATCAAAAAATTAGCTGGGCGTGGTAGTGCACACCTGTAGTTACAGCTACTTGGAAGGCTGAGGTGGAAGGATCACTGGAGCCCAACAGGTTGAGGCTGCGGTGACCGGGAGCATGCCACTGCACTCCAGTCTGGGCAACAGAGTGAAACGCCAGCTCAAAAAAAAGAAAACCAATTTGTTTAACAAATATTTACTGAGCATTTGCTATGTGCCAGGCATTTAGACATTAGAAATAGAAATGTACACAAGATCAACCAAAAGTGTCTATCAAGCTGGTTCTGTTTACGCAACAGCCAAACAAACGTGCACGGTGTGACATATGCCCAGCAATGACTGTGGAGAAAGTTAAACAGGGAATAGGGACTTGGGGAATACTGGGGTGGGGGTGGGCGCTGCAGTTTCAAATTTGGGTCAGGGACGACCGTGCTGAAAGGTGGCCTTTGCCATCAGAGTGCTCACTTGAGTGGCAGCGTGAGGGCGAGAGCCGTGGGTGCAGGGGGAGAGTTGCAGGTTGAGGGAACAGCCATTGTGGAGCCTGAGGCAGGAGCACGCCTGGGCGCCTCAGGACCAGCTGGGGAAGCCGACTCTTACATGGACGGGTCAGGGCTGGGTGAGTCACACCCACTACACGCCAAGAGCTGCCCCTTCATGGACACCTACACTGGGCCACATGCGGTAGGTTGTCCTGTCTTGTCCTCTCAGCACCTCTGTGAGAGGCAGGAATCCTGTTCCCATTGTACAGATGAGGAAACAGGTTCAAAGAGAGCAGGTGGTGTGCCCAGGGACACAGCCGGCAAGCAGTGCTGCTGGGTCCTGGCAGGTTCCTCCAGGGAGGTGGGGAGAGATGGGTTTGAAGAACCAGGGCGGGAGGTGGCTGCCCCTCAGCCCTCCTCAGGCCGGGGGGCTCCTCCGACACTCAGCCGCCGGGGTGGGCTAGGGACAGGGCAGGGGTGGACTTCAGGAGGGTCCTACCTTCAGGGCCCTGCTGCCGGGCCACCCTGGGGTCTCCCCAAGACCCACCGCCCGGGCCCGGCCCGGCCACGTGCCTCCCCCCAGCCCGGGGCAGCAGTGGGTGTCTGGATGGAGAATGGGGCCCCTGCCCACCCGCAGACCCTGCAGACCCCCTCTCCTTCCCGCCTTTCTGCGCAAGGAAGGGGGCGGCCAGGGTTCTGGGCATGGAGGGCCAGTCCGCCGTGTGCTGGGTCCCTTCTCGGTGGCCTGTGGGATTGTTTCATTTCGTCTTCACCCCTTCCTTAGTGGGGTGGGATGAAGGGAAAGTCCAGCCTATGAGGAAACTGCGGCCCCGAGGACAAGTGATGGGCTCTGATCCCCAGCACCCCCTCACGGTAGCATCGATACCTGCCACGCTCCTTCCCCCGACCTGTTCTGTGATTTGTTCCCTGGAGCCAGAGACAGCCTGTGGGAGCTGCCTTTTTACGAGGAGGGAAACGGAGGCCCCGGCCAGGGCAGCCACGTAACAGGCCAGTCAGGAGCCCGGCTCCAGCCACCCTTCCTGGCCAACGGCTGCCCCCCTGAAACCAAGGGGCCTTCCTGGCGTGGAGTCCGCGGGTGGGCTGGGCCTGGCCCCGGGGCCAGGTCGGGGCCAACTCGGTCCTCCTCCCCTCTCGGGCACAGGAGCCAAGCGGCCATGGCCTACCACAGCTTCCTGGTGGAGCCCATCAGCTGCCACGCCTGGAACAAGGACCGGACACGTGAGTGCCTGCCCCTGGCGGCCGCTCAACCTCCTGGGACAGGGCCCTGAGGCAGCCTTGCCCCCGCGGCCACCGCCTGGGCTGTCCTCGGGCCTCAACCCGGGCTTCTGTGCTGAGCACGGGGCTCCTGACGTTGAGGGAAGGACGGGACCAGGGACTTGGGTGAGCCTTGGGTGAGCCTGCGGGCTGCAGGCGGCTGGAGGCCAGGGGCGGGCGCTGCCGGTGAGCAGGAAGTGAATTCCAAAGGGGCGGAAACCCAGGCCCCGAGCCCCAGGGGAGGCGAGGGAGCCCACGAGTAGGGAGACGTCCCAGGGGGCACGAGGCTGCCTCAGGTGAGGGGCGGGGCGGCCGTCCCAGGAGGGAAGAGGGCGGCCCAGCAGAAGCTTCCATCCCCCGTCCCATGGGAGGAGGAGAGCCCAGTCACGAAGGTCAAGGTGTGGCCTCAGAAAGTGTGTTCCCGGGGGAAGGGGGTTGCCGGGAGGGGGTCTGGTCACCCCACACCCCTGCTGTGCCTGCAGAGATCGCCATCTGCCCCAACAACCATGAGGTGCACGTCTACGAGAAGAGCGGGGCCAAGTGGACCAAGGTGCACGAGCTCAAAGAGCACAACGGGCAGGTGACAGGTGGGTCAGGCCGGCGGGGAGCACCCTCGAAAGGGCGGTGGTGGGGACGGGCCAGGGCCGGCTGGGGCCTCCACCCCCGTCCTGGACTGGATAGAATGGTTTGGTCTGTAAGTGACACAACCCTGGTTCAAACTGGCTTAAGTTTCAGAGGGATCATGTCAGCTCACGCAACTGAAAAACTCAGAGGTTTGTGGGTTTTCGGAGAGGCTTATTTCAGCAACTCAGCATTACCCAGTGTTTGTTTTTTTTCTGTTTCTTGGGTTAGACCTCCAGCATGTCTGATGGTAGCTTGGGAGAGCAGTGGCACCCCGTAGTGTCACTCCAAATAAACACTGGATCTGAGAAGAAAGCGTGCTTGCAGGGCAGATCGTGGCCTTCCCGCCCCTCCTACGCGGCCTTTGCCCGGGCAGTTTTGGCTTAGTGCGTCCCCCCCAACCGCCACAGGTATCGACTGGGCTCCGGAGAGCAACCGCATCGTGACCTGTGGCACGGACCGCAACGCCTATGTGTGGACGCTGAAAGGCCGCACGTGGAAGCCCACGCTGGTCATCCTGCGGATCAACCGGGCGGCCCGCTGTGTGCGCTGGGCCCCCAACGAGAACAAGTTCGCTGTGGGCAGTGGCTCCCGCGTCATCTCCATCTGTTATTTCGAGCAGGAGAATGACTGGTGGGTGCCTGGATGCGGCCCGCGTGGGTGGGAAGGGACCAGCCGCAGACTGACGGGGTCAGGACTAGGGGGTCCCCAGAAAACAACGGTGGGATGTTGGCACCCCTCTTCACCTGATCCCAGGGGAGCCTGCCCTCTCTGGCCTGGGCCTCGTCCCCGAGGCGAGGGGCTCTTCGCACACTTCCTGGGTGTCCCACAGCTCTGTCAGTAATAACAAGGAGACAGACCACACCGGAGCCGCCTCTGGGGGTGCTTCGCTAAGCCCTGCACACACGTTGGCACTGGCTTCCCCCCCGCACTGGGAACTTGGCAGCTGTCGTTCCCGCTTTACAGATGAGCACAGTAAGGCCCTGCAGCCGTCACTTGCCCAAGGCACCCAGGCTGTGATTGCAGGCACCACTCACGAGCTCCCAGCCTCGTCTAAATCTTCTCCCTGCATTGCTGAGGGCAGAGGCCAGGCAGGAGCCCAGGTTGAGTCCCGGAGACCCAAGTTCAGCTCCCACTACGGTTGGTCAGCAGCGAAGGGACCTCTGGAAATGACATCATCACCTGCCCCAAGGGTGGCGATGAGGGTTAAGGGCGTCAAGACACAGAGTTCTCACCCCAGCAGGGACCCAGCACATCCCCGCCTGCACCCATTCAAGTCAGCGAGCGCCCGGGCTCCCTCCTCCCCGGACCCGGACCTGGGTCTGTGGGAGCAGTGGGGCCTGGAGTCCCTGACACCGAGGTCTCCCCTGTCTGTGTGTCCAGGTGGGTGTGCAAGCACATCAAGAAGCCCATCCGCTCCACTGTCCTCAGCCTGGACTGGCACCCCAACAACGTGCTCCTGGCTGCTGGCTCCTGCGACTTCAAGTGCCGGTGAGCGGGGCAGCCACCTGGGTGGGGTGCAGTCTCTCCGTCAACACTCAGCAGCGCCTGGGGCGGGGGAGCCCTGCCTGGGGCCCCGAGCCCCGTCTTCCAGGCCAGCTCCAGGGCTGCTCCCGGCCAGCGCCGGAGCCTCAGTCGTCCTCGTGTCGTCCTCAGCATCTGGCAGTGTCTCGGCAAGACGTGCCCCTTCCCTTCCCGTCAGCCTGGTTCTTTCCGGGCCCTTCTCTCCTGCCTCATGAGAGCCCCCCGTTTCTTGGCTTCTGTCTGAAGGAGCATGAATGTGTGTGCTTGTCGTGCTAAGTGATGAATGACTGACAAGCTGGAACAAACCCTGCCTCACTGTGGGAGGCCTGGTGCGGAGTCCACTTGCCAGTCGGTTTTCCGCCTCCGGGCCCAGCACCCAGATCCCCCCGGCTCCAGGCGGGCGGCTCCCCTTCCCCGCCTCCAGGCCTCCGAGTCCCCTCACGGGAGGCAGCAGGCCTGGCGGTCCCTTGGGAGGTACTGGACACAGGCACTGGTGACGTGCTGGTGAGGCCTCGTGGGTGGGTGGGGAGCTGGTTTATCAGCACCCCGATCTGGCGGGCGACCCTGAGCGGGGGCTGGGATTGAGAGAGGGATAATGAGGGCGGACTGAAGGGAGAACGGGGTGCAGGGTGGAGCTGAGTGCAGGGCAGAGCCAGCAGGAGGGGCCAGGGTTGGATGGAGGTGGGGGCATCCTAGGGGCTGACTGTGGAGTGGCCAGCACTCCAGGGACCAGGACACCTCCTGGGGGCCGCATTGGCTGTGGACGGTCAGCTTTCAGTTAAGTTGCTGAGGGATCTGAGCTGGGGTCCTCCTGGCCCGGCCCCATCGCACAAAGGAGACAGTGGCCCACACTTGTCAAGCTGGGACACAGGTCAGCAGAGCCAGGTCTGGGACCCGTGAGCTCCTAGCTCAGTGCCCTGACTGCTGGCGAGGCTGCCTCTGGGCTGGGCTGGGCTGGGAGAGGGCTCCCCTTCTCAGGTCCCTCCCGAAACCCGTCACCCCTTTCTTGGCTCCGCTGGCAGGATCTTCTCAGCCTACATCAAGGAGGTGGAGGAGCGGCCAGCCCCCACGCCGTGGGGCTCCAAGATGCCCTTTGGGGAGCTGATGTTTGAGTCCAGCAGCAGCTGCGGCTGGGTGCATGGTGTCTGCTTCTCCGCCAGCGGGAGCCGTGCGGCCTGGGTCAGCCACGACAGCACCGTGTGCCTGGCTGATGCCGACAAGAAGATGGCGTGAGTAGGGCCACGGGGGAGGTAGGCGCCCGCAGCAGGAGGGAAGGAGGGGGTCGTGCGGCTGACAGCTCTCTCCCCTCAGCGTTGCCACCCTGGCCTCGGAAACGCTGCCGCTCCTGGCGCTGACCTTCATCACAGAAAACAGTCTGGTGGCCGCGGTGAGGAGCTGGGAGGGGAAGGCAGCGGTCACCAGGGCAGGTCCTCCGGGTGCTCCTGCAGCTCTCCACTCGTCCCTGCCCCCCCTTCCCCGTTCCTTCCTTTCCTTCCTTCCACATTTCTTGATTGGGCAGGACAGGTTGGGTTTTGCTGCAGTAACCAAAGTCCCTGTAGCTTAACAGAGTAAAGATTTATTTCTGTTTGACGGTGGTGGCTCACACCTGTAATCCTGGGAGGCTGAGGTGGGAAGATCGTTTAAAGCCACGAGTTCGAGACCAGCCTGGGCAACATAGCAAGCCACTCCCCCATCTCTTAAAACAATAGATTTCCTGAGCCCGTGGGTTTGAGATCAGCCTGGGTAACTTGGCGAGACCTCGTCTCTCCGATACATCAAAAATTAGGCGGGTGTGGTAGTGCGTGCCTGTAGTTACGGCTACTTGGAAGGGTGAGGTGGAAGGATCGCCGGAGCCCAGCAGGTCGAGGCTGCGGTGGCCGTGAGTGTGCCACTGCACTCCAGCCTGGGCGATGGAGTGAGACTCCAACTCAAAAAAAAAAGAAAAAAATTTTGTGGGGGCTCTGATGGTTGGCATGCTTCCCCAGCTGCCAAGAGCAGAGGGGGCCTGTGGAATCACGCCCTGGGTCCTAACATTTCTGCCCACGTGTTATTGGTCAGTCCCACATTTCTTTTTTTTTTTTCAGTTGTGGAGTCTCACTCTGTCACCCAGGCTGGAGTTTAGTGACACGCTCACGGCCACCCCCGTGTCGACCTGCTGGGCTCTGGCGATCCTTTTGCCTCGGCCTTCCAAGTAGCCAGAACTGCAGGCGCGGGCTACCACGCCCGGCTAATTTTTCTTTCTTTTGGATTTACTGTAGTGAGGAGGTCTCGCCAAGTTGCCCGGGCGGGTCTCGAAGCCGCGGGCTCAGGCAGTCCACTCGCCTCGGCCTCCCAAAAGAAGGCAGGCCTGGGGGCCGAGATGCGGAGTTCCACCGGGTGTCCCAAAGGGCGCCGCTCTCCGGTCAAGCCCCCTTTCCCCGCTCTGCAAACAGATCGGGGGAGCCAGAGGGGTCAGGCCCGCTCTCTGCCCGGCGGAGCATCCGGCTGCGGGGGTCTCCGGGGATCCCCGACAGGCCTCCTCCGCCGGCGGGGGGCGGGGGGCGGGGGCAGCCCCCACCA